TATATATTCATGCCTGCTAAGTTAGATGCCCTCTATATTTACTTGGCGCATTTGCATACTTTGGAATTCCGTACCTATAGGAATTCCATACTAGAAAGTAATTTATTTTCTTATCTCAGAATATACTCCAATAGTGACGTTTCTTTTATTTGTATTTCCTATTTTATGTTATTCCCTATTTAGAGGGATTCCTATTTTATTTATGTTTGTTATTTTATATATATGATGTGTAGTGTAATGCTTATAACAAGTAAATAAAACAATGGTATCAGAGCCAGCTTGAATTGTTTTGTTTCTCGTTCGATGCCTTCTACATCTCGGTTTCGTTCGAAGAATTCGCCTTCTTTGAACTATGTCTACAAGGCTTCAAACGACATCGTAGCCTTCTTCTTTGTCGTCTGTGTCGATCGAACGATTCAACGTCTTCGGCTTCGTCGTTTACATTCCAAGACGTCTTTGCAATCACATCTGCATCGCTCCATGGTGTCATCTGCATGTTCAGTGGAAGCTTTCCCGTTATGAGGAAACACATCCTAGCTCTTCTTCAACCGTCGGAGCCTCTCCAACAACTATCCAGCGCTGGAATCCTCCCTAAAGGTCATCCCTTTGGCGACCCAACTGCTCCTTCCTAAGCAAGCAGAGCAGTCGCAAGTTCCCTTTCAGTTTGATCTTCTAAAGGATTGCAGCAAATAGAGCAAAAGCGAGAAATCCTACAGCAAGGGTTTGCCAATAAGTAGCAGCCAACCAGGTTTTACCTTATCCAACCCTAAATTTGCATAGGGTCTATGACCATGTATGAATTGAAGACGTATAGTTCCACTCCAAATGTTAATTCTATATCGGAGATCATAAACTCTATCCAAACAACCACAAAACTTTCTTTTTTTTAACACAAACTATAAACTCAATAACTATAACTTCCTTCAATGGTCCCAATCCATGTTTATATACATTTGTGGAGAAGGAAGAGAGGAATACTTCATGGCATAGTTCTTGAGCTCACTGATCATAACCACCGCTCATGGAAGATCCAATATCATTTGATCATGCCTTGGTTGATCAATTCTATGATCGCAAAAGTTGAAAAAAATTTCTTGCTTTACAGGAAAACACAATAGATTTAGGAAGCAACTTGTGAAACTTATTTTAGTTCCAAAGACAGTGCAGAATTGTTTGAGATTGAAACAAAATTGTGTGAGCTCCGACAAGAAGTGTAGAGTATTACTCAGTACTTCAAAACACTCTCAAGGTACTAGTCAGAATTAGATATGTATGATACATATGTATTGAAGTGCCCTCAAAATGCTATGATATATAAAATTATAGTGGAGAAGAAAAGGATGATCAAGTTTTTATCATGTCTAAATAAGAACTTAATCAGTTCAGAGGAAGAATCATGGGGATGGAGCCTCTTTCTACCATCAGGGAAGCTTTTGCTGAAGTTAGAAGAGAGGAAAGTTGGAAGAAGCTCATGATAGCAGGAAGTGTGGGTTCATCTGACATTGAAAGCTCATCTTTGTACACTCAACTTCTCATGATTCAAAATCAAAGAATAATTGTCCTTTGTGTGAACATTATAAGAAATTCGGTCACACAAAAAGACAAGTGTTGGAAACTACATGGAAAGTCGGTAGATTGGAAACCTAGATAAGGGAGGAAGGACCAAGGCAGTAAGGGTTATGCTGCTATCTCTTCTGAAGATGCTTCACCATGGAATAACTAGAGGTGTTGAAGAAGTTTCTTACTGGCACTACCAAGCGCCTACCAGTTTGACACATTAATGTATCATATCCTCATGTTTTCTTGCTAACAGTGGAAGATCTGGACCTTGGATAATAGATTCAGGTGCTTCTGATCACATGAATGGAGATATTCATGCTCTCATCAACGACCAAGAGATTACTACCTCTAAATTTGTTAGCCTTGCTGATGAATCTCTTTCCAAGATTATGGGAAAAGTAGAAGTGAAAATCTTAAAAAAAAATTTTCTTTGCAACTTTCAATTAGCAAGCTTATTCATGACTTGATTTGTGTCTACTAAATTCAATTCCAACTCTTGTGAATTTCATGTGATGGATTTAGAGAAGGTGATTGACAGTGTTGAATTACATTAAATTCTATTCCCACTTAAGGAGAGATATTCTTGTAACAAAAGTCTTTTCTCCATCATTCTCTTCTCATGTTCCTGAGTCTATTGAGGGTATTATTTTCTTATGACATTGTCGTCTTGTTCATCCCAATATCTATTATATTGCAAAGTTTGACCTCTTTATTAATAAAGAATAAGCATTTTTATCAGTGTGAAATCTGCCAATCAGCTAAGAATACTCGTCATATATATTCTCTGTTTCAGTACGAACCCTCAAATGCTTTCTCTATCTTTTATATTGATATTTATGGACCATCGAATTGAAAAAGATCAATGAAGCTAATAGTTTCACATTTATTGATGATCACATTAGAACCAATTAAATATTTCTCATGAATGAGCAATCTGAAACTTCACAAATCTTTCAATCATTCATGATTCTCAAAACAAATAATGTAAAAAAAAATACTTCAACTTGATTCTTGGACCCTATCTTGCAAAGAATGATATCATCCATGTGAGTTTGTGTTGAAATCCACAACAAAATGTGATAGCTGAGAGGAAGAAAGAACATCTCTTTGAGGTATCTTGGTCTAATGCTTTCTCACAATGTCCAAAATTTTTTTTGGGCAGTTGCAGTGCTCACAATTACCTACCTCATTAATAGAATGCCATGTAGAGTCATTCGATTCAAAACCCCTCTCCATGTTTTCATAGAAACACAACCTTATGTTAGATCATTCTCATTCTAATTTTCCTTTAAAAATATGACTGTTTCTTTTGCTCACATTCATCCAGCAAATCTTGGAAGCCCGGACAAGGGGACACAGACATAGGGAAACATACTTGACACGATGCGATACAACGACAACATAATTGAAAAAAATATGACAGGATACGACATAGACACGTTTTTATATATTTAAGAAATTATTAATATAAATATATATTTTTAATATTTTATACTAAAGACTTGACATAAAATAAATGCAATCATTAAGAAAATTTTATAATCATAAAAGTTATCTTTAACAATATCAAAATCACATTCAAAATATCAAAAAATTACCAAAACACTTGATAGCAATGCCATCCATAATAAAATAAATTAAAATATAGCAATGTGCCAAAATATAACAATATCATTATCACTAATTACAGTTAATGCATTTAGTAGTGGTGTCATCATTTGTACTAACTCCATTGCCTCATGAATGACACCATCACCTTTATCAACGAAAAACTTTGTTTCTAAGCATGACTCATCAAGAGAAAGAGCAACTTCAAGATTTCAATATCCTCCATTGTAGCTAAGGCATCTTCAACAATATCCCATAATTTCGTGTCCCCCTGAGAATGTTCTGGGCCTCTCCTAGATAGAAGACAGATTATTATGAACAAATACCAAATCTTCACCTTCTTGCGGAGTAATTTTATTCCTTTTAAGTGAATTGATCAAATAATATGTACTCTAGTTTCTTTCACAACAAGAAGATGAACACAGTTAAGCCAACAATTTGAAGGCTAAAATTTGCGGTTGTGGGGAGCTTGCTCTATAAATCATCTACCATGCCTTTCCATCCATAATAGCTCTAGAAGCTATGTATAGAGTCATGATCAACAAAAACACTAATAAATCCAAAGAAATTAGCAAACTTCAAATTAAAAATTGATCTTTCTTCAATATTTGCGAAAATCCGCAATGATAATCTCATTGAATGATTTGTAATAAAAGTTTTTTATAAAATTGACATCTCCTATAATTTAATTATCTAACTATATTGCTCATAAGTTCTCATTTGTTTATATATTTTTTGGAGCACATATATTCTTCAATGCTAAGTTCAATTCGTGAACAACACAAGACGTAAAAAAAATATGAGGATATTGAGTTTCAATCAATGCTCTTGCAGCTTTGCACACAAGTGCATTATTAGTGATTATTTGAACCACTTTATTTGAACATACATTCACAATTACTTCTTTAATTTCATTGGCAATGTAGAATTTACTGCCCTTCGCAGTTAATAGCTTTTATAAATATTGGTTCAGATTCTTTGAAACCCATGAAATTGATGAGAGACCTTCTTTGTGCATCTGTCCAACCATCACAAACTATGGTAACTTCTTTCTCATTCCAAGTCTTATTTATAGGCTCAAACATTCTCTTTACATGTGCTCTATCTTTTTGAAGAAGGTTGTTCTTAACTGATTATAATCAGGACTATATCTAGCGATGTGTTGTTAAGCACTAAAATAATATGAATTTCTTGCCAAATGAAATAGAAGTGCTACATAATAAAACATTCGAACGATTTGTTCATATTAATGATTTTTGACTTGCAAATTAAATGCTCTTTCAATATCGCTATTGCCCGACTTTTTTCTTTTTTTATGATATTTTTTATGATCATTATCATAACCTTCTGTTCTAAATAAATGCCTTCTTGACTGAGAGCTACACAACTGATGATAATCACTTTGCTCAGAAGAAGAAAGTCTGCATCAACAACTAATTTCTGTATTTCTTGAATTTTTGTTGAAGTCACTTTAGGACGTCCTCAAATACTAACTTCAGATTGTCGAAGCAAGTGTGCTCTAACCCCCTAGAATATATTCTCTTAAACTTACCTTGATAAAATGAGACTGAAATTCTACGTTGCCTCCTGCTTGGATTGATCTCAATTTCTCTAATTTCGTGAGATATGCCTATAAAAGCTGTCTCATTATCTATGGAATTGTTAGAGGAACTTTTAGTAGCCATTATCCTATTAATCAATTGTGGAAAGTATAAACATTTAAAATTCACACACTTGCATGCGCGCGTGCGAGCAAGCACGACACGCACGCACACGCACGCACACGCACGCACACACACACACAAATGAAGCGCATTTTCATATATAATTCAATCAGAGTTTTTGATCTACAAAATTAGCAAAACACCAAATTTCATAGTACATGCACGTGGGGTGAAAAATACATGTGGCCTATTTATTTGGTTTATTATGTATTTTCTATGCATTGTCTTGTAATCTCATAAATAATAAAAGTTAGTACAAATAATCGTTACAAGACAAACACCACCAGCGAGTTTATGATGCGAGCATGAGTAGTGCATATTGTTAATCTAATTTTAGGGGCATAAACAAGTTCAAACTCAATCTTAATACAAAGAGTTTGATTCAACTCAATTATTATAAAATTTTATGGGCAGTGAAATACATAACATCTAATTTTTATATATCTACATAATTAACGTCTATAAACACATGCTTGTTTGTAAATGCCCAAAAAAAGAAAAAAAGAATTGAAAAGAAGCACAAAGCTTACTGCACGCGTGGATCATCCTTGGCTCCCGTCAATTCTTTGGATCGCCCCTAAGTCTGTGTCGAAGCTCAGGATCACGAGGGAGATCACGTGGAAGCTCTGGATGGTGCCCTACTTAGAGTTGAAGCTCTGAATCACATCAAAGACTCCCTTGCTTCGAGCAGGGCTGCTTGGCAACTCGATCAGTAACGCTCGACGATGACGACTTCCTCTCTGCTTGCTTCGACAGGCTGTTGTGAGGCGATGGAAGTTGCTACGAGGCTTGATAGGATCGCAAGACCTTCAAATGTCGCAACTTTGATTTTCTTTTATCGCTTCGCATTCTGCTTCACCCCTTGAATTTAATTCCCATGTTTTGTGTCGAGCGGTGTCCAAGCCGTGTCGAGAGAGGTGTCCGGGAAGTGAACTAATTGAAAATGCTGACATGTTTATAAAGTGTCGGACACAGTATCGGCCCATGTCGGAGCCGTGCTCGTGTCTGACACGAGTACAACTTCTATTTTGCATTGTCGGTGCTTCCTAGCAACAAACCATAAACATGAACCAAAATACATCAAATGTATCTTCATTGGTTATACTTCTAATAAAAAAAGACGCAAGTGTTATGCTCCCATTACTAAAAAATATTATAACTCCATGAATGTTATATTTTATTAAAAATAATCCTGCTATCCCAAATCTATTCTACTTCCCTCTAACAATCCTGTCTCCCAAGTTCTACCACTTATGGATATCCAATCTAAGATTGACAACAAATAAATGCACACGGAACTTTGTTTGTACCAAGGAGAAAGAAATCCACCAAGCAAAATAAAAACAATATACAGTCACATGACTGTTCATAACCAAATTTGAATTTACACATCTCTGAAGTTTCAAAGGAGGTGAAATCTATCGGAGAAGACAGGGAAAGTTGTACAACCAAACTTGAATCCACACATTTCTGAAGTTTCAAGGGAGGTGAATCCAATGGATAAGATAAAGAAATTTGCACAAATTATCCTATAAGGAAGTATGTTGCCTATGAGAAATTATCATCACACTATAAAGTTTTTGTATCTAATCTTGATTGTGTGCAGATACTCTAGTATGTTAAAGAGGAGATCCAAACACTTTATCTAAATGAAACGAATCTTTACAAAGCTTCCTGCAGATAAAAAACCATTTGGGTGCAAATGGGTGTTCAATATCATGTACATAGCATCTGGGAGCATTGAGAGATTCTGGGCATGCTTGATGGCTAAATGTTTTAATCAGTTTTATGGGATATACTATCAAGTGAAATTTGCACCAGTAGCCAAGCTAAATTTTATAAGAGTTCTTCTTTCCTTAAAAGTAAATAAAGAGAGGGAATTGCATTAACTTCATATCAAGAATGCCAAATCTTGAGGAAGAAGTGTATATGGAGATCCCACCGGGAATGAAAAATAGCTCAAATAAACATCTGATTTATAAACTAAGAAAGTCATTTTATGGCCTCAAACAATCTCTTGATATTATCGACTTAATCTACATTCCAACTCTTCTTCATGCCACTGATGTTTTCATTAAATCTCTTTTGCTAGGCAGCTTCACTGATTTGAATACTAAGTTAGGTGTTTACAACATGTATGACCCAACTTGAGGGGGAGTGGAATTTCTTCCCTATAAGAATCTGCATCAAGAAGGAATTTATTTTATTTTCTCAGAATATACTCTAATAATGGCATTTTTTTATTTGTATTTCTATTTTATGTTATTCCCTATTTAGAGAGATTCCTATTTTATTTTTGTTTGATATATATATATATATACATATATGTTGTGTAATGTAATGTCTGTAAAAAGTGAATAGAAAATTATTTCCTCACATACATACCTCCCAATTCTTATGCATTTACATATCTAACTCCATAATTTTGTTTTTCACATTTATATCACTCATCTAATATGTCACATCAAATATACCACTATAATAACTTTTAAAAAGTGAAATACATCTTTTGATGTATGGGTATGGTGCGTTATGTGTAAAAATTGAAGTTTATGTGTTAGATATGTAAATACATAAGAATTAAATGGTATGTGTGTAAATCTTCTTGTTTTGTTTACTAGTTCGGAGTCAACCAAGATTTTTGAGTCATTTGAGTGAATTTAACTTGCATCATGTAGCTTACCCTAAACAGCCAGTAAATATTTCATATTGCAAGTTATTTTACTCTAGGAAATTAGATTGTAAGTTTATGGCTTTCTTCTTATAATCAAAAGAGAAAATACAGTTTCTCAAATGATCTGCTTATATTAACTAGCTATTTTACACATCAATTCCATATTTATTTTACATGTTTAATCTGCTGATTATTTTCTGCATAAAAAAAGTATAGAATGGTGAAGAAAATTTAGAGAAATATTGTGTCCCTGGAAAGAAGGATCTGTAGCACATTACTTGCATTATTTATTGTTTGTCGCTGATCGCTGAGCATGAGACAATGTTATTGATTGTGGCACTCTTCAGGACAATAGCCTGAATGATGTATTACTGCATTAAGAAGCATCAACTGAATCCACTCATGTTTTTGCAAGATAATATGTAATTAAATAATGGAAAATTTACATACATACCAGACAGTTCTTATTTGTTTGCATATCTAACGCCAAGTTTGATATTTACAGTTAATACACTTTGTTATTAAAAATCTTTATATGGCAAGGTGTATTTCACTTTTAAAAAGTTAGCGAGAGATATTTTTTAGTGTGCTGTCAATGATTTGAGTGGTACGTAAATATGAATGTTTAGGTGTTAGATGTGTAAATATATAAGAATTGTTTGGTATGTATGTAAATGCCACGCCAATAATATGTTACTTGACCAGCTGATAGCAATAAACTCACACGGCATTGTTTTTGCCGTTTCTTTAGCAGCCCATCAATTTTTTTTTCAATATTTGAGCCCAATACTCGTTTTTGTTTTTAGCAGCTGAACAAGACCTTGCTTTTTACATTTATACCATCTAAATCTTCCATATCACATAAAAAATACAACTACTTTAACTTTTAAAAAAATGAGATGCACCTTTTCATGCACAGATAAGGTGTTATGTATATAAAAATTATGGTTTTGGTGTTATATATGTAAATACGTAAGAATTGAGTGGTATGTATGTAAATCTTCCTTTCTATTTATGTTGCAATTTTTCAGTAGGTTGAATTGAACATTTTGTTTCATGTCTTTTCAGGGCTCCAAAAGCTGCTACAATGATACTAAATCTAACAGCAGAAGATAATGGCGCTTCCCTTACAATATAAAAGCTGAGCCAATTTTTCTAGTTTCTTCATATTCGTTCTGAAAACTCCTCTTCTGCTCTTTGTGATGGTTTGTGAAGTTAAGTTCTCCTTTTGATTCCATTAATGACTGACTTTTTTTGCAAGAATGCATCCATTTTCATCTTGATGTACAATTCTTAGCTGCAATTCTCAAGGGTTGTTTGATTTTTGGGACAGTTAAATACATAGTACATAATTCTTATTTATTTACATTTGATGCCTAAACTTTCATATTTACACACGTAATACTCAAATTTTTAATATCACATAAAAATGAGAATTGTTACCACTTTTTATAACCGAAACAAATATGTTCATGCATAGTTTTAATGCAACAAAGTGTTATGCATGTAAATATGAATGTTTTATTGTTAGATATGTAAATCAATGTGTAAATTTCAGTAATTGGGTATTGAGGCTTCTTATGTTCGTCAGACGAGGCATAAACCATGAGGTTGAAAACTGCAGTCAAAATAACTGTTATATATATATATATATATATATATATATACACACA